GCTCGGCTATGGAAACCCATTCCATGAAGCTCTCGACACACTGTTGTTGTGCTAATCTGAAGGCCACATGCAATCTGTCATTTTACATGGCCTACCACTTCGTGGTTGAGTTGCTGCTGGTCCCAGTTGCTTCTACTTTGTTATAATACCACTAACTGTTGACCATGGAATATTAAGTGGCAAGGAAATGTTACGGATGGACAGGTAGCAACCTATCACGGTACCACGCTTGAATTCACTGAGCTCCTGAGAGCGACCCATTCTTTCACAAATGTTTGTAGAAGCAGTCTGCATGCCTAGGTTCTTTATTGTATACATCTATGGCCATGGAGGTGATTGGGACACCTGAATCCAATGATTTGGGGGGGTGTCCCAATACTTTTGGCAATATAGTCTATAATTATTTTAAATATGAAAGCTTTACTAAGGAAATATCACAAGAAAGAGAGAAAAGAAGAGAAAAAAAAGAAGAAAAGGGACCAAAAATGTTAGTAATATAATTTCAAGAAAAGGTCCACATCCCACCTATGGGGATGTTGTATATTATCCTGAGTGCTGACCTTTCCTGGTCCTTGACCTCCCATGCATCAGCAGCAGCACAGCCATGGTCAAGAACACCCCCCCCAGTCCACTGGTTGGACAATGAAGGTGTGAAAGCACATTCTTGATGTTCACTCTGCTTTTTCCTTCTGGCAGCATGCTTCCTATCTGCACATGTGAACTGCAGCAAAGTCTGATTGGCTCCTTGGAGATAGCATCCATTTTAAAGTCTTTTTGCTGCTATACAGGGTAATAAAGTGTGTTTTAAAAAAAAGATTATTCATGCTAGTTCTACACGTTCATAGATCCTGGATTATAGGCTTGTACCTTCAGATGATTGAACACTGGCAAGCTTTTGAGGAAACGCCTACTGAGCACCTCTTCTATGACCCAACCCTACTCCGTGAGTCCTCAGTTTTGTAGCAAGCAGTGCTGAGTAACCAAGAAATGGAAGGGATGGTGACTTGTTTCTTGTACTGTACTTCAAGATATGGAGATTACAGATAAGTCAAAATTCCTCTTATCCTAATCATACACTAGAGGAAATAAGTCAAGTAGTTGTAAACCCTGGAACATCCCCAAGCAAAGAATGAGAAGTGTGGGTAACAACTATGAAAATAGAATTGTACCAACAGGCTCAACGATGATGAGGGTCAGCAGACCCAACTTCAGAGTACGGGAGCTTCGGCTCTCGATCCCACTGTGGACTAATTTTGGCTGGGGGGAGAGAGCCATTGGAGAGGCAGGAGGAGCCCAAGCCACAGCTGCTAATGTCCACAATGGGATCAGGAGCCGGAGTTGGTGGAACCAGTAATGTAGGGAGGTTTCCCTCACAGCTTCTGTCTGAACTCAAAGTCACTATGACAAGCCTGGGTTCGCACAGAAGCTGTGCAGGAAACCTCATGTGATTCGGACAGGAATCGAATAACATTCCTATTCAAACTGCATCCAAATTTTTGCAGTGCGATTTCAGCCCATTCTTTTTGTATGAGCTCAAATTGCACCGCAAAGGTATCTGTACTCGGTATCAGCGAGTACTTGACCAAAAGTATTGGAATTCGTACTTGGTAAAAAAATGGTATTGGTGCATCCCTAGTTTGCACTTAAATAAATAGTTAGAACTTGTTAAAGCGAAACTGTAGTGTAGTGGAGAGTAGGCAGATTTTGCCATCATCACAGCATATTTGCACATTATGGCAGACTCACCTCTGTGTTCATCCTACTCCAGTACCGACAATTCCGAGCTGTCCTTTGTGGCTCCATCTACCACCACCATCCTTTCCACTCCTTCTTCCTGGCTCTGCCTCCTTACTCTTGGACCACTGGGTGGCCAATGACAATGTAACTCCATCACCAAGGATAGTGGACACTCCAATTGCACTGCAGGCAGCATACACCAGAAAAAGAATTGGCCTGCAAAGCCTCTGCCACCAAAAAAAAGGAATATTTTGTACATGTGTTATGTATGAATTATTATACTAAAATGTATTGATTTATAATAATTTAATATATTATTTGATAAGTAAGGACTGCTGTAATAAACATCAGCCCTCAGTTTTTTTATTAGTCTTTCATTGTTGCTTTTGGTCCTGTACAGGCAAGATAGAAGAACAGATGTGATGAGCCCAGTAAAGGTAGCTCAACCTGGGAGGCAATTTGGCAAGCAACAGTGCCACCTCTCCCAGTCTAATCCACGTCTCATTCTGCTATTTTCAATGCGGATGACCTCATTTCTTCTGCTTCCTTGCAGGATATTTCACATTATAATGCAGTCACATACACCACTGTGCTTCTTTTTTTTTATTATAGTGCATTGGATTGTTGAAGCCTTATTGTATGCAGTATCTAGTTCCTTCCAAAAAAGTCCCCCTGCTGTATTCACAAAATACAATATAAAGGCTGTATTATTACAGATTCCACCCATGTCTACCTGTGTGTGGATTTGTATAGTTCACAAATGAGGTGAAACATGTTCTCTAATTTTTACTATAGCTGTTACTTTAGTACAACTTTTATGTTTTGGTTTTCTTTTATTTTTCTTTCCATTTTTAACTTACTATGATAAAAAATTAACCACGCTTGTTTAGCTATTCAGCACTGCTCTACTTTAATTAGCAATTGCTCGGTTTTGCTGCACTGTACGCAAATTAAATTGTTATAATTTCTTTCCACTGAAATAGAGATTTCTTTTGATGGTATTTAATCACCAATGGGTTTTTCATTTTTTTGAGATATAAATGAAAAAAAAAGGATTGAAAATTAAAAATACCCATCGCTAAGCACCATCCTTTGGTTCCACCCCCTACCCACCTCCCAGAACTGCCCATTTTAGAGAATACAGAACCAAGTATCATTTTGTTGTGGTAAGAAATGTGTAGAGAATGTGTTGATGGTAGCAAAAAAAGCAGTAAAATAGATCCCCTGCAGACAGTAATAATAGATTTCCCAGCAAAAATAGATCCCCCCACAGCACTAGATCCCCAGCAACAACAGACCCCCAGCAACAATAGAACCTCCAGCAACAATAGATCCCCCCACAGCACTAGATCCCCAGCAACAACAGACCCCCAGCAACAATAGAACCTCCAGCAACAATAGATCTCCCACAACAATAGATCACCACAGCAATAGATCTCCAGCAACAATAGACCCCCCAGCAACAATAGAGCCTGCAGAACAATATACCCCCAACAATAGATCTCACAAAAAAAAAATAGACCCCCCAGCAACAAAAATAGCCCCTCCACAATAGACCCTTTCTGCAACAATGAAACCTCTGCAACAAAATACCAGCTCAGCAACCATAGCTCAGTCCAGGAGCGGACTGACCATTCGAGCATTCGGGCACTGGAGCCCGGGGGCCCGGTGTCAGTAGGGAGCCCCATGAAATGCCCCTGGTACCTTTTATAGGCACTTTTGAGTGTGCTTTGAGTGTGGGCAAGGACACAGGGACCCCATGATCCCCTATTGCCCGGGGGCCCCATGAGTTATCAGTCCGCCCCTGGCTCAGTCCCAGCAATAATAGACCCCCAGCAGCAACAACAGGTATCTCAGCAACCAGCATCAATAGACCTCTACCTCAACATTAGATCTCTCCCAGCAACAATAAGACCCCCCCCCCCCAGCAATATAAGACCTCCCCAGCAAAAAATAGATTCCCAACCAGCTACAATAGACCTCCCAGCAGCCAGCAACAATGGACCCCTCTAGCACACCCCAGCACACCCAGGGGCGGACTGACCATTCGAGCACTCGGGCACTGCCCGAGGGCCCGGGGTCAGTAGGGGGCCCCATGAAATGCCCCTGGTACCTTTTATAGTCTTTTTTGGGTGTGCTTTGAGGGTGGGCAAGGACACTGGGGCCCCATAATCCCCTATTGCCCGGGGGCCCCATGAGTTGTCAGTCCGCCCCTGAGCACACCCCATTACATTCAGTGCTGGAGGTGCCGGAACCACGTTCCTCCTCATTCCCGCTGAAAAAAACCCCTATATACTGTATAAAGTTTTTATATTCTTTTATAGTTTGCCCTTTTTTTAGATCCCTCCTGCACGTCCATGGTACTTTTTCACATGTTCAGCTTTAACTTTTACTTTAGATTGTCATAAGCTGCTTGGCTTGCTCAGGGTAATTGAATTCTACAAGTATGCATACACTGGAAAAGGATGTTTGTAGATACACTCAGGGAAAATGTGATCAAGCTCACATCACTAATATAATTTTCTAGCCTAGATTATGCTGAAGTGCTTTTAATTCGGTTAACAGTTTCTTTTTTCCAGAAGGTGCCACACTCCTGGCATCCTGTTTCCGATGCTTATTGTGGAAACAAGGCTACAATCAACCCAATGAAACCTCATACAAACCTCAGGAAAATGATAGATTACAGAGGGGAGCAGGAGCCGATAAATAAGGAGCCATTCACAAAGGGCTGGCTGGTATCATTGTACAGACTGTGCTTTGGCTGTGAGATTCTGCAATGACAGGAAAATCTATTCATCTGCTACCCATCACACCCCAGCTATTAAAGGGTCACTCTACCTAGACATGATATTTTTTGTTTTAGGTTGAGCTTGGTGAGCTGCGTCAGAATCTGGTTTCTTGTCCACGTTGGATACTCTAGCAGTGAGATCTCCCCAATATAATTCTGCTTCCTTAACCACTTACCTACCGGTACTTTTACCCCCTTCATGCCCAGGCCGATTTTCAGCTTTAAGCACTCTCACACTTTGAATGACAATTGCGCGGTCATGCAATACTGTACCCATATGAAATTGTTATTATTTTTCTCACACAAATAATAAAAATTCTTTTGGTTGTATTTAATCACCATTGAGTGTTTTATTTTTTGCACTATAAACAAAAAAAGAGCAAAAAATTGAAAAAATATTTTTTTTCTTTGTTTCTTTTTACAATTTTGCAAACAGGTAATTTTTCCCCTTCACTGATGTGAGTTGATGAGCCTGCACTTATAGGCAGCACTGATGGGCACTGATGAGGTGGCACGGATAGACAGCACTGATGGGCACTGATAAGCTGCACTGATGAGGTGGCACTGATGAGGTGGCACTGGTAGGCATTGATGAGGAGGCACTGATGATGGTACAGTAATATGCAGCAATGATGGGCACTAATAGGCGGCACTGATGGGCGGCACTGATGGGTAGCACTGACTGGCAGTACTGACTGACAGCACTGACTGGTGGTACTGACTGATGGCACTGGCTGGCGGCACTGCTGGGCACTGATGGGCGCAACTGCTGGGCGCAACTGCTGGGCAGCACTAATGGGTGGCACTGCTGGGCACTGGTGGGTGGCACTGATGGGTGGCACTGCTGGGCACTGGTGGCTGGCACAGGTGGGTGTCATTGCTGGGCACTGATCATCAGGGCACTGATCGTCAGGGCCCTGATAATCAGTGCAGATGTCCTCTGTGACATTTGTCGGTTATCGGCAGTACATTCCTCACGTGGTAAAAGACCACTGTGATTGGCCTTTTACTTTGTCATGTGATCAGCTGTGTCCGTAGGACACAGAGATAACAGAGAGTGCCGGGTGTGCGCCTCTGGGGGCGCGCAGGAGGGTGCGTTCTGGGAGAACGTCATATGACGCCCCCCCAGAACTGGACAACCATGCTGCAGCCGCCATTCGGCTTATAGCATGGTTGGCAAGTGGTTAAAGTAGTTCTAAAGGCTGAAGGTTTTTTTACCTTCATGCATTCTATGCATGAAGGTAAAAAACCTTCAGGCTAGGTTCACACCTGTACAGTTTGTGTTTGATCCGTTTCTACAGTGCTTTTTGCTTTTATCTATCTATCTATCTATCTATCTATCTATCTATCTATCTATCTATCTATCTATCCATTCATCCATCTATTATTATCTATCTATCTATCTATCTATCTATCTATCTATCTATCTATCTATCTATCTATCTATCTATCTATCTATCTATCTATCTTCTATCCATTATCTATCAGTCCATCTGTCCATCCATTCATCCATCTATTATCTATCTATCTATCTACCTATCTATCTACAGTATCTATCTATCTATCTATCTGTCTATCTATCTATCTATCTATCTATCTATCTATCTATCAATCTATCTATCTATCTATCTTCTATCTATAAAAAGAAATCTGCTGAACGTCTGTTAGCGGATAGCAGAAAATTAGACAGGCTCACCTTCAATATTGTAGGGTCTGTACTGTAATTAAAAATTGAACGTTCACTACCAATCATAACCCAGGTAATAACTAAGGATCATAATTAGCAGTGCGGTAATAAATTCATATTTATCATTACAGCTGCGACACCTGAATATTTTCCATCACGATAATCATTTGCACGTGAGCAACTATGACATATTTATTAATGGAATCGATTGGATTTTTTAATGAAATGTACTCACATGTGATGGGCTAATCATTTCCATTTTGGGTACTGTGCTATAAAAGAGACGTACGGCCAGATAACACAGTTTGTCCTTCGTTAGGATGCTGCACAGATGAAGCGGGATGGATGGTTTCAATGGCATCATTTCAGTGATCTGCAACAAGCAGTGCTAATGAAAATTAATGTACAGGAAACCTAATCCAGCAGCAAAGTAAACAATGCTATTGCCACATATTGTTTTATGGCAGGCTAAGGGAAAGATTGATTAGGACATTTCTCTCCAAGCAGATACAGTGTAATATTCCTATATCTGAATATGTCAGTCTTGACTTGCTTAACGGTGCAACTTTATGGTTCTCAGAAATAGAAGCTTGGTTCTGCTAGAATAGACTGCCTGGAGATGGCCTACTGTTGTGCTAGAGTAGACTGCAGGGGATCAAGAGGCAGTTTATTAGCAAAAGCCATGCGGCATTTCCATTTCATTGGTGTTATTTGTTAATTTTTACAATTCTACATTAGATTCAGTAAAGGTTTTATTGTGCAGATTTGTTGAATTTACCACTTGCACCTCTTATTACTGATTTTTGTGGTAGTTTATACTGTATGATAAAGTCAGATTCAGATATTACTCTCAAAAGTGTATGTAACGCCCAGGGGCGGACTGACAACTCATGGGGCCCCCCGGGCAATAGGGGATCATGGGGCCCCTGTGTCCTTGCCAAAACTCAAAAAAGCCTATGGAAAAGGTACCAGGGGCATCTCATGGGGCCCCCTACTGACCCCGGGCCTCGGGCAGTGCCCGAGTTTCCAAATGTTCAGTCCGCCTAACAATGAACAGGAAACCGGGCAAAGCTGATACCATTAGGTCCACAAGCATGCTATATGTCGTCAGCCCATTGTTGGCCTTAGCTCTTGCTCTGTTGTACTAGTCGGTATAGGGAAGCACATAAACCCCAATTCCCTATTCCCCCATCACAGGACACTGCACAGGCCTGAGCGGCCAATTGCGGGTCTGAACACTGTAACGTGGGGAGGTGCAGTGACATCTTCCCACATCCAAGCAGTGCTTACTAAGGAGGAATTCCTTTAATGGGGAGATGGTCATTGAGTGTGAATTTTCAAGTATAGGCTATCAGCAGACACTGTCGCTTCGCCCTAAATGGCAACATGACATTGTCTCTTCAAAGTAGATATAAACTGTAAATGGTAAATAAGTAACTGCTTAGAATACATAAGATCACCATTGGTCAGGTGATTGACCATGGTTCATGAAAAGGTACTCTTCAGTATTTTTTTTATCCTCTAACCCTGCAAGGAAAGGTTCTCCATGGGCTACTATAGTGGACAGTATGGTAGGGGAACTCAGTAAATACCGGTACACAACCTTACTCCCCCACATGGGTCCATCTGCCAGCTCCAACATCTAACAAGGGTTCCTGCTAAGGTGGAACTCCTGAAGCGGTGAGATGGTAATGTAGTGTGGATTTGTGAGTAAATCTTCTGCGGAGGGGGGTCCTCCTATCTGAGGTCCCACATTAGGAGCAGCATGTGATCTTTATATCACGGCCATGCCAAAATGGTCACCCACATTTTGTGGAATACCATTGCCAATAATAGGAATTGCCCTCCTCAAAAAGGCTACTGGAGCCCAGTGCAGAGGATGATTCAGTCCTCCAGTGGTTTCCCTAGCACCCAAAGCACAGCAATAGTCATTGTGTTCAGTGTTACCTATAACGCTGCCACCTCCCCGTCACTACCCCTCTCTGTTGGGGTCCCTCATGGTTCTGTCCTCAGGCCCCTTCTCTTCTCCATCTACAACTCCTCCCTTGGCCAACTGATACACTCTCACGGCTTCAACTACCATCTCTATGCCGATGACACGCAAATCTATCTCTCTACCCCTCGCCTCACCCCTTCAGTCTCCGCCCAAATCACTAGCCTATTGAACGACATATTGGATTGGATGTCACTCCACTTCCTCAAACTGAACCTTTCCAAAACCGAGCTCGTAGTTTTCCCCCCAGCCCGCGCCCCCCCCCCCCTGACTTCTCCATCACGACCAACAATGCTACCATCAGTCCCACCCTGCAAGCCAGAGTACTAGGTGTCATCCTAGACTCCAATCTGTCCTTCCAGCCCCAGGTCCAATCGCTGACAAACTCATGTAGACTCCACCTCCGCAACATCTCCAAAATACGTCCGTTCCTAACCCCGGAAACTACTAAGCAACTAATTCACTTCCTTATCATATCACGACTTGACTACTGTAACTCCCTCTTCACTGGCCTACCTCACCACAGGCTATCCCCGCTTCAGTCTATCCTGAATACTCAGACTCATCCACCTTACTAACTGCTCCATATCCACCACAACCATCTGCCAATCCCTCTACTGGCTTCCAATTGCCCAACGGATAAAATTCAAAATGCTAACACTGACAAACTCATGTAGACTCCACCTCCGCAACATCTCCAAAATACGTCCGTTCCTAACCCCGGAAAACTACTAAGCAACTAATTCACTTCCTTATCATATCACGACTTGACTACTGTAACTCCCTCTTCACTGGCCTACCTCACCACAGGCTATCCCCGCTTCAGTCTATCCTGAATACTCAGACTCATCCCACCTTACTAACTGCTCCATATCCACCACAACCATCTGCCAATCCCTCTACTGGCTTCCAATTGCCCAACGGATAAAATTCAAAATGCTAACACTGACAAACTCATGTAGACTCCACCTCCGCAACATCTCCAAAATACGTCCGTTCCTAACCCCGGAAACTACTAAGCAACTAATTCACTTCCTTATCATATCACGACTTGACTACTGTAACTCCCTCTTCACTGGCCTACCTCACCACAGGCTATCCCCGCTTCAGTCTATCCTGAATACTCAGACTCATCCACCTTACTAACTGCTCCATATACACCACAACCATCTGCCAATCCCTCTACTGGCTTTCAATTGCCCAACGGATAAAATTCAAAATGCTAACACTGACAAACTCATGTAGACTCCACCTCCGCAACATCTCCAAAAAACGTCCGTTCCTAACCCCGGAAACTACTAAGCAACTAATTCACTTCCTTATCATATCACGACTTGACTACTGTAACTCCCTCTTCACTGGCCTACCTCACCACAGGCTATCCCCGCTTCAGTCTATCCTGAATACTCAGACTCATCCACCTTACTAACTGCTCCATATCCACCACAACCATCTGCCAATCCCTCTACTGGCTTCCAATTGCCCAATGGATAAAATTCAAAATGCTAACACTGACGTACAAAGCTGTCCATAATACTGCCCCAAACTACATCACCGACCTGATATCCAAATACCACCCAAACCGTACTCTCCGCTCCTCACAAGACCTCCTACTCTCTAGTTCCCTGGTCTCCTCCTCCCATGCCCATCTCCAGGAGTTCTCCAGGGCTTGCCCCTATCCTCTGAAACTCTCTACCCCAATCCATCAGACTATCACCTACTCTCCTCTCCTTTAGGCGCACTCTGAAAACTCACCTCTTCAGGGATGCCTACCCCGCCCTCAGCTAATTGCTGATCTCCTCCACTCTTACTACCACTCCATCCCCCACAGCTATTCCTCCCGTACCACATCCCCTCCCTCCTAGATTGTAAGCTCCAAGGAGCAGGGCCCTCAAACCACTCGTGTATCACATTGTATTGTTATTGTACTGTCTCGTGTATTGTCTCCCATTGTAATGTACAGTGCTGAGCAAACTGTTGGTGCTATATAAATACTGTATAATAATAATAATAATAATTGTAACTGCTCTGTACTTTGTGTATAGCTGGAACACAATCTCTCCCAGCATAACCAGTTGGGTGTACATCAAGGAAGAGAAATAGCACTGCTATCCCAGCACCTAACCTTTCCTATGTAACAGCAACTAGGAATTATTACTATAGTCTATAGGACAGTTGATAAGGCCGCACAGTAGCTGAAGATTTTTAGGGTTAC